CAGCAGATAGACACTAAGAACTCTGGAATAGAACCCCGCGAGGCAAAACGTCCGTAATTGAGGCTACCGACGAGATGGGCTGACGTGTCGTGGCACGGATGCAACAGCTCAGTTCTCAGCCGTGACGATTGATAGATCTGGACATCGCAATCGTCGCCGCCGCAGTTCAATGCCAACATTATGGATGACGCTAGCGACAGAGATGGTTGGAAACAATGCTGGGGCCTGCAAGACGAGTGAACACAATCTATCTAAGTATCTAAGTAAATAAGTGAGTATATCACTTCTTGAATCGTTTCTTCGCTAAGTATTCTTCCCTTGTCGGAGGTGTTGACTTTTACTTACCACAGTTAAATAACATCTGTCCTTGTGAATTGTAATATTCCTCATATTAAGCACTATTTTGTCCACTCTTTCCAAGACATTCAGTTTCATTACAACATCAGCATCAAAGGTGAAGTCCTTCTCGGGCGGGAAATCCACATAGGAAGGCAGATAGGTCTGCAGGCTCAGCTCATAACTGACTGAAACTTATAACTATTATAAAGTTTTAACTTTACGAAGACTACAAAGTGACGTTTTGCATGTGTTGGAACAATTAAACGATCTCATTTTTTTCTCACAGAAATAAACATTTCCCTTGTCTTCTAAACAAATTTATATTTTTGATATGTAATTTCAGTTATCTAGATGGAGTAAACCAAGATGGACAATTTGGATTTAGGATGCTTTAAAATTTTCTTTAGAGTTTAGTTGTCGTAGAAGCTGCAACTAGAGCCCTTGCTTTGTCTAGTTTGATAGCCACAAGACCTCTATGGAACTTCCGACGTAACCTAGATGCTGTGAATAAATGCGATGCTAAGCCCCTGAAATTTTGAAAAGGAAATACATTATTCTCCATCATCCACAAACACACGCACCTGGTTTTATACTTTTTGGAAGACGCAATTCAGCACCGGAAGGTGAATTGTCCTCCTCTTCTTCTTTGCGGTCACTGCAAATGTCACAAGATTCTCATCTAATACATTACATGTTATCCCGCTAAAAAATCTTTGATTTTTTTACTACATTACTGACTGTTTCAACAAAGGGATAACATTACTAGCTGTGAGACGCATGAATGTCTCCAAAACGGGTGCTTATAAAACGTATTGTGGTAACAACTTTAGCCAACATTCTGCAATCTACAAATTTGGTTTTATCAAAAGTTGGTCACAGGATGCGTTTTTAATCGCAAGCTGCTTCCTAAACTTTTATAAACTGCCATATTCATAAACTCGTAATTAGGCTGTTGCGAGAATTACTTAATGGCAGCATTTTTCCTTTTTTTATGAGAGAGGGATTCAAACAAATTGAGAGGATTCTCATTTTTATTTGAAAACCTGTATTTGTTCCAAAAAAAAACTCAACGCTGCTTTGAGAGCATTTTGGTGTCTTACTCAAATGAGTAAGGAAACTCTTTCTTCATTATAGAATAACCTTATAATGAGGTATGAACACTTGATAATCGAATTGGCCGAAAAATAATTTCCGTTAAAAATGTGAATACTCAAATAACATAGCAGAAAACCTCTGGTTAGATCAGTCTTTTATCGATCTGCTGAGTTAATCTTGGAAATAAATGGCACCGGTTTCGGGATATAATCGAACCATTAAATTTAGAACTAAAAAATAAAAATTTAATGTTTAAGAAGCAGGGATGGCAGCAATTGAACTAAAATGTTGTACAAATGACCATGAAGTAGCAATCCAATTCCTTCTAATAGAAATCTGGTTAGAAAGTACGAATTCAATGTAGCTATAAGAAATGCAACAACAAGACGTCTGCCCCCAGCAAAATTAAAGAGAGTTGAGCATTTTGCGACTGCATACTAAGCCAAGAAATTGGTGTGTGTTAAAGTTCGACGACTTTATATTCAAAATGATAATACGCGCGTGTCTTGCGTGCCTAACGCACGATACCGTAGCCATCTAACGATAACCATGAGGTAAAACATTTTGGAAAAAAAAACGAGCACTGCACTTTTTTGCGTGAAATCTCGCTCTACTATGAATACCAACGGCGACCAGTGTCAATCCGTTGATGTGCAAGTTAACAACAATGCTAAAGATTAAATAATTTTCTTGATATAAAAATTTACAAAATTCTCTTAATAGAGTTCTCATCATCTTGCTACACCTGACAATTTCCAAAATTAGGCTATTCTGCACAATTGCTTGTTG